GCGGCCGTCTTGCGGCCGCCGTGCGGCCGGCGTGCGGCCGTCTTCCGCCGGCAGTCTGCCAGTGGCGGGGGCCAGAGCTGGAGGGGTTCCCACCCAGACCTCCCAGGGGAACACTCCGCAAGGTCGGAGAAACCACATGGTTTGGTTCACGGGCGAACGGAACCCATAAAAAACATACAGTCGGGGCGCGTACGTAAGGAACCCTAAATAAGGAACGAGACCCCTTTTTTTCCCATAAGTTAAACTTCGATTTCCTATCGAACACATAAGGAAAACCTGAGGCGAGCTGTGAAAAACTTAAGGAACGCGGAGCCCCTCCCCAACGAAAAGGGTTCCTTCTTCAGGGCTCCGACTGTATGGTGTGAACTCACAGACGAAAGGACGACACCATAAATATTAGACGCACATAGGTTTGGCTCACGAGTGAAAAAGACCCCATATATTTTGATGTTGCCACGAACCTTGACCTTAAATGAAGGTGGGGATGATCTGCGAGAGTGGCAGGGGCAAGGAAGTATCGGGGGCTGGATTTGACGACGGGGAACAATTCTTCCGACGAAGAGATATGCGTCAATCATGGTGTTCGTCTCATGTTGTTCATGGAAGTTTTGTTTCTGGATTGTCTTGGAGGCAGGTGTGCTCTGTGGGGACCTGTTGAGCTTCCAGTCGCCTCGTGGGATGTGCGCCCAGGACGCGCAGAGTATGCACGGTTGTACTGCTTCGCTGGGTCCTCTGAGGCGAGGCGCACTTGGGAAGTTCTTCGGGTGCATTCCAGGGCCTCTTGTGGGCGTCTGGGGGTGTTCGCAGGGCCTCTTCAAAACTCCTGGGCCGTGTCTGGGTTCTGTCGCGCCGTCCAGCACCTTCGGAAGCTGCGCTGGTGGTGGCTCTGGGTTGTCTTCGGGCCTTCGGGGGGCCTTTTACGGCCGTCATGGGAGTTTCGTGGGCCGTGTTTGGGCGGATTCGTAGGGCTCTTGATTATTGGGGTTATGTTGGGTCGTCTTGGGACCCTTTAAAAGCGTTTTGGGCAGTCACGAGTTCTCTCGACCGCTTAGAGCACGCGGGCAAGACAGGCGAGATTCAATGGAGTGCGCACGGAAGGGGACGCACGGAGGGTGGTCCAATGCGGTTCCCGTGTCATCTGCTTCCACTGGAGGCCTGTTCGGGGCTTCCTGAGGAGGTCCAGGACACAGTGGGAGGAGAAGGATTGAGACAGCTCGGAAGCGAGACGATGGAAGAGGGTAGAAACACGGAGTGAGAAGGGGCAGAAGAATGGGCAGAGGAGAAGGGAAGTAGAGCTTCCTTCAAGAGAACGACGACAGCGACGGTGACTTCGGAGATGTTTTACTGGGGCTTCTTGGAGGCTTCTTGGGCCGTTGTGGGAGCCTCTTGGAAGCGAAGGGAGGAAGGAGGAAGGAGGGTAGAAGAACATAACAAGTGTTGAGAGGAGGCTGGCGGTAGGGATGGCGGGCGACGAGGACACCGCAGGCCGAAACGGCTTGCGAGCGCATTGTGTAGGTTCCCGTGTTGTCCGTGTGACGCTGTGACGCTTTGTCGCGACGTCTCCAGCCATGGGCAGTCTTGGGGCCCTCTTGGGGGCCTCTTTTTACCAGCCTCGAGCGTATCCCTATCCCTAAGATTGACACGCCAAAAGGCGATGACAATCTTAGGGATTCGCCCTCAAAAAATAAGGGAATCCGTAAGATTGGCATCGTGATGAGGAGGTGCCCAGCATAAGGATAGGGATATGTTCCAGGCTGGTAATCTTTGGGGCCTTCCTGGGGACCTCTTGGGGCCTCTTGGGGGCCTCTTGGGGGCCTCTTGGGGGGTCTCCTGGCTCATCCTGGGGGGCCACCGCGGGCGGAGACTTCGAATGTCGGGCCGTGCTCTGCCTCTTGGGCCCCTCTTGGGGTGTTCCTGAGGCCCCCTGGGGCTTTTGTGGGCCCTGGAAACGGCAGGGCCGTTTTTTCACCGTTTCCAAAAAAATGTTCCTTGAACATGGAAACGGCAAAAAAACGGCGACCGGAAACGGCAAAAAAACGGCTCCAGGATTGGAACCGGAGCCGGAACCGGTCACAAAAAGGCGACGGAACCGGTAAAAAAACGGCGTCGGAACCGGCAAAAAAACGGCAGAACGGAACGGGTAAAATAACGGCCCTGCCGTTTCCAGGGCCCACTAAGCTCTGGGGCCGTCGTGGAAATCTCTTGGGCCGTGTTGGGGGCCTCTTGAGCCGTCTGAGTGCCCTTTCGGGGGCCTCTGGGGCCGTCTTGGGGCAATCCGTGGGGCCTCTTGGGCGGTCTTGGGGCGTCGGGAAGCCGGAAAGGCGGGGGACACGAAAACACCAGAGAGCCCTCCGGAAACCCACCAACACTGCTTCTCGGATCACTCCTGGAGGCCCTCTTGGAGGCTGCTTAGAAAGTCTGCGGGTCCTCGTGGGCCATCAAGAAGCCACCTTGGACGGTCTGGACCGAGCAATCGGCACCCGAGCCGCGCGGAAACGCGTCTGCAGGGGTCGTACCGAACGTCGGCCGGCTTCCGCCAGCGTTCCGCTCGCGGCCGGGGTCAGAGTGCGGGCGGTTCCCCCCCAGACCCCCTCTAAAAGGATACTGATCGGGAACCCCTCCGCAAGGTCAGGGAGGAACTCTCAGGAAAGACATGAATCTTGCCTCTTGAGGCCGTGCAGAGGCCATCTCTTGGACGCTCTGGACCGATCAGTCGGCGACTCCTGGTCCTCTTGGGGCAGCCCAAGCCGCTAAAAAACGCGTCTCCAGAAGTCGTGCCGAACTTCGGCCAGCTTCTGCCGGTGTTCCGCCTTTGTCCAAGGCCAAATCTCGGGGTGTACCCCCCCCAGACTCCCCGAAGGGGATACTAAACAGGAGCCCCTCAGCAAGGTCGGGGAAAAATACGTTCGAGCTCAAAGACGAAAGGAAAAAAAGTAAAAGCCAAGGCTTTAGCTCACGTGCGAAAGACAACCATGCAAAAACATCACCAGGCTCTCTCGTAAATTGCGCTGGGGCCGCGCTCCCTGGGCCAGAATCCTTTGTAAATTTCGCTGGGCGACCCTCCCATAGCATCCTGTCATGATGATGATGATGATGATGATGATGATGATGATGATGATGATGATGATGATGATGATTATGATGATGACCGTCATCATCATAATCATCATCATCATCATCATCATCATCATCATCATCATCATCATCATCAAAAGCATCATAATCATCATCAAAAGCATCATCATCATCAAAGGCATCATCGTCATCGTCATCGTCATCGTCGTCGTCAGAATCATCATCATCGTCGTCGTCATCGTCATCGTCGCCATCGTCAGCATCATCATCATCATCATCTTAATCATCATCATAATCAGCAACAGCATCAGCATCATCATCAAAATCATCAGCATCACCAGCAGCATCATCAGCATCATTGTCATCCCCTCACGCATCAGCGTCCTCACTATCATCATCAACACTAGCGCAAGTATCCTCATCACCAGCAGCATCAGCAGCAACGTCATCATCAGCAGCATCATAATAATCAGCATAATCATCAACATCAGCATCATAACCATCATCATCATCAGCGTCATCAGCATCACCATCATCGGAATCTGCATCATCTGCACCATAATCAAGGTCATCATCAACATCATCATCATCATCAATATCATCATCATCACAATCCTCATCAGCGTCATCATCATCAGCAACATCATGCTGTAAGAATCGGAGTCGTCAGCATCCGCATCATCATCATTAGCATCATCATGTTCACCAATATCATAATCATCATCAGCATGATGATTCAACATCGTCATCATTGTTCACCATCACCAGCATAATCAGCATCATCACAATGTGCATCATCACCACCATCAGCAGGAACATCAGCATCAGCAGCCACATTATCAGATTCATTATCATCACCGTTATCATCATCAACATCATCAACAATATCGCCGAACACATGAGAACAACCCTTTCGCAATCCCCACACATCCTCCACACATTCTGCAAACAAAACGTTTCGTTCGAGACATCACCACCAAACGGAAACGAGGCTCCCGCTTGATACGTCCTCTCACGTTGCGCAATAATGAGGCTCCCGCTCGAAACGATTCCGCCGGCCCACTTCGATTCCAAAAGGGAACCCTGTGCCAAAGTTTTTCCCGCGAAAAGATGGCATGTCCATACCTCCGACATTGTACTGTTTGGCTCTCGACGAAATGTCAGAAAAAGGTATCCGTCGCGTGAACTGTCTGTTAATGGTCCTGAGACCTCAAAGCGGCCTCTGGACACCGCAGTTGTCAAACAACACAATGACCTTAAACAAGTCACGACGCCGAATGCCTGGGTAACGGTGAGACGAAGAGAAGGGAAGCATCGAGCTGGAATCGCAGTGACAGAATCCGTCTCGCTCGGGAACGCACAACCAAAAGTTACATGCCCGCAAATGTGCGGTCATATGCTACATGAGCATATGCGGGCATGTTGGGCCCTCTGGGTGCAAATGTGGCACTAGCAGCACCGCGTGACGCAGGCCATAGGCGAACTTTCGAGGGCGTTTCGAAACGAAACCGTCGCAGCAAGATAACGAGGACGCCTCGTCCCGAGGATGTCGAAAACAGGGAAACAATGAAAAGGGACAGGAGGCAAAGACGAGAGAAGGTGGGACACAGAAGAGGAGGTGCGTCAGGCGGGGCACACAGAACTCCACGGATGCCCGCGCCCGCGCACACAAGAGCAGGTCCGTCCGATGACAACCTGCACGTGCCCCGCGCATGCCATCACGTGTTAGCGTAGAAACAGCCACATGTGTGTTCCCCCTCGTCGCGTTTCCCCGCGCAGGCGCTCCCACAGGCAACAGTCTCGAGAAGGAGATTGAAGGAATCTGGAAGCTGAAATGCAATGTTACCCCAAGGCAGCTGCTTCGAAACGAGTGCGGCGTACAAGGCCGTGAACGTGCGAGGAATTCGCTCGTTGACCCGAAGTTCCACCAAGCCCCTGGGACGCGAGCCGTCTCTCAATAGTCCAAGGCGAGGGGGAGAAAGCGAGCGCGTTAGAAAAGCACTGGGCGACTGATGCACACTCATTGGCGTGCGATGCAATGGCCCAGCGAGGTTGGAAGCCAGAGCACCATAAGCTGCGGAGAGCAAAAGGGTGAGCAGGGTGGGGGACGGGGTAAATCCAACGACCGCATTTATGCGATCGTGCTGCGCCAGCTGTCTGGGTGCAGCGCATCTGCATCCCTGAACCTTGTTGCCCCAAACACGTCATCGCAAGCAACCGCTACCAACAAACGGCGACAGCAAGCAACTCTAGGATTGGGTGCACTATGGCGGCACACGCTGCTTCGAGATTGAACCTGTTCGGGCCACGTCCTAATCTCTGGCCCAGCACGTCGCTGTCGCCTGCTCTTCCGCCAGGGCGGGCACTCCCATGAACCCGAATACACAGAGAGGGCCGCCGTTCCACAGAGGCAGGCGCCTTCCTGTAATGTTCCCCATCTTTGCTGAAGAGCTGTTCGGCCACCGAGCAGTGTAGCCGCGCAGAAAGTATGCGACCCACAAACCCGGAAAATCATTTAGACATGTGAAGCATGGCAACGTTTCCAAAACAATAGATAAGGCGACGGGCAATTGTAATGCTGAATGTATCGATCGTGATGTACCGTGCCAAGGAATGTGCTGTGCTGTGTCGCGCTGGATTGACATGTGCCATGCCGCGACTGTGCACTATAGCGTTGTGGATCGAGTCGTCCTTAGCATCCGAATCCCGACCGAACTGATCAGGATCTTACCCTCGAGCTGCCTGATCACATAGCCAGCCGGTCCAGAGCTGTTTGAGGCAGGAACGTGCGGGAACCCCAATCAGTTCGAGCTTAAGATCGGACCCGATCCCGAAACAGGATGAGACGACACGGGGCGCAGGACGCACGGACGCGCCACGGGACGTGCCAGGGCCGAACTAGGGGATGCGCCAGGGGGCGTGTCAGGGGCCGTATCGGGGGACGTGCCAGGGACCTGCGAGGAGATGTGCCAAGGCGCGTGCCATGGGGCGTGCGAGAGGACGTCATGCCAGGGACGTCCCAAGGCACGCCCCAGGGGACGCGGCAACGGACGCGCCAGGGGACGTGGCAAGGGACGCGCCACTCAACGGGCAAGGGCAACGCCGGGGGACGAACCAGGGAACGCGACAGAGGACGAGCCAGGGAACGTGCCACGGGACAGGTCCAAGGGGCGTGCCATGAGGGGGCATGCCAGGGCACGTCACGCCAGGGGACAACGCCAAGGCCTCCTCCTCCTTCTTCTCCTCCTCCTCGCAAAGGATGCGCCACGGAACGGTCTCCTCCTCCTCCTCCTCCTCCTCCTCCTCCTCCTCCTCCTCCTCCTCCTCCTCCTTCTCCTCCTCGCAAAGGCCTCCTCCTTTTCCTCCTCCTTCTCCTCCTCGCAGGGGCACGTGCCACGGGCCCCGGCAGGACGACGCCCAAAGCTGATGCCATGCGACGTTTCAGCTACGATGCGCTCTGCGGCGCGATTGTGGATCAAGAGCCCCTGCCGACGCCTCCCGGGGCCTCTGGGCCTCCCGGGGTCTCCTGGGGCCTCCTGGGGCCTCCTGGGTCCTGGGGCCTCCTGGGGCCTGGCGGGGCCTCCAAGTGCATCCTGATGCCTCCTAGGGCTTCCTTGGGCCTCCCAGGGCCTCCTGGATGCGAGGCAAACCTGCGGGAGCACGCGCAACAGATGACGGGCTTGAGACTTGCCTATAGGAGTAAACTTTCCCGTCGCAGCCGCAGGCGAAGGCGCACAGCGGCGTCACAAGCCAGCTCGGGCTACGAGCAAACTTGATTAACCTAGCGCGCGCACTGGAGGCTGCAGAACTACCGCCGAGGGACGCTGCGCTGCGCCGAGGGACGCTGAGGCTGCAGGAGCTGCCAGGAGCTGCTAGGAGAGCCAGGCAGGCGTACGGGCATCCCAGAAGTGAGACCAAGAGAAAGGATGAATTGAACCTTGTCGCACCAGGCGCCAGAGGTCGACGCGCCGCAAACGTGGCGAAGCGCGGGGCTGCATAAACGCTCCAACGTGCTGGGCTGCAGGCCAACGGGGACGATCACACATTGCAGACCAAGAAGGCTGGACCACTCCTGAGTAAACCAGTGGGGCAAGGTCCCACCAAGCGCCTATAGGAGCATACGCAAAACACCCGGACTGTGCGACCAGTCTGTAGGAACATACGAAAGCACAATGGATTTGAGGCCAGTGCATGAAGACCATGCGTGACACGCAAAGGATTTGAGACCAGCATCTAGGAACACAGATAAACTACAGGGGATGTGGGCCAGTCTACGAGAGCATACGCAACACACAACCGACTTGATTCCAATACATCGGAACATACGTACAGCACGCACACCAAGTGAGGCACATCGATGGGATAGAACACAACGCACAAAGGATATGAGGCCAGTATAAGGGAGCATGACGCGCAATAGACTTGAGGCCAAATCAGAAGAACACACGTGCAGCGTAAAATACTTGAGACAGGTCTATGGGAACATTCGTAAATCACAGATTCGAGACCAGTCCGTCGGAGAACAAGTGACACACAAAAGGTGTGAGACAAGTCCAAGGAACAACTGTAGAACACTAAATATGCGAGACCAGTCTATAGGAGCATCCGCAGAACACTAAGGACTCGAGACCAGTCCTTAGGAGCATACGTAAACACACAAAAGGGTGCGAGACCAATATATACAAGTGGCACGTGTGTGCCCAGGCTCATACAAAAAATGAAAGGGCGTTTGAAGCAGGAAGACACCATGACTGCAGGATCGGAGATGGAGAAGGGGGAGCTGGGGCGGCGCCGCCAGGGCGTGCCTAAGAGAAGGGGAAGAGGCAGGAGGTGACCGCAGAATAATCTAAGATCGAGGTCGCACTCGAGCGCAAGTGGGGTTGCCACACCTTGCGATGTGTGTACCAGGGCCCCCCAGAAAACCTCAGGAGGCCCGACTTGGATACCGGAAGAGGCTCCAGGAGGCCCCAGGATTGTGAGTGTTGTGTGTGTGATGTGTGCTCTGTGTTGTGCGTGTTGTCTGTGCGTTGTAGGTGTTGTGTGTGTGTTATGTTTGTCTAGCGTGTGGTGTGTTGGGTGTGATTTGTGTCTCTTTGTGTGCATGTAGTTCTGAGGCCCCAGGAGGCCCCAGGAGGCCCCAGGCGGCCTCAGGAGGCCCCAGAAGACCCCAGGAGGCTCCAGGAGGCCCCAAAGAGGCTCCAAGAGGCCGCAGGAGGCCCCAGGAGGCCCCAGGAGACCCCCAGTAGTCTCCGAGGCGGGGTCTGGGGCACCAGAATGTATAGAGGCCCAGGAGGCCCCAGGAGGTTCCAGGAGGCTCCCAAGAGGCTCCGAGGCGGGGTCTGGGGCACCAGAAGGTACGTCGGGGCTCGATGTTGGGAGGATGTCTCAGGCGAAATCGCCATTCTCTGAGAATCGGGGTCAAACTCATTGAAATTACAATGTGTGTTTTGAAGGTTTTATGCTAGAGTGCTGAAATTTCCATGTGTTGTTGGACCCTGACGTCACGATCAGCGTGAGGGGTGCCACCGATTTTCAGAATTGCGAGGATGTCCCTAGCGAAAAGGCCAGAAAAATCGCGAACGCGGCGCCCCGCGTACGCATTAATCGCCTCTGAGCTCTACTCCCTCGGAGAGGTGCGTATGATAATATATATGTATATATATACACATACATACGTATACATATACATATATGTATTTGTATGCATGTGCATATATATATATATATATATATATATATATATGGACGTATGATGATGATGATGATATATATATATATATATATATATGTATATATATACAAATGTATATATACTTACCTATATAGGAAGACGCATAAAGCACGTAGGGATTCAGGTGTTAGGCCAAGATATGAAGACATACGTCGACCACACTGGATGTGGCACGAGCCCGTAGGAACACGCGTGAAAGAAGACACGTTTTGCTAGAGGCATCCCCAAAACATGCCCCACGGGCGTGTCGCTCGAAGCATCCGCGGACTCTGCTGAACAGCAAGTGTTTCGCCGGAGAGATCGTCAACGAAGTATGTAGAACGAGCGTTTCGCTCCAGAGATCCGATGCACGTCGTCCATTTCTAATCGTGTTCATTTCTAATGTTGCTCGTTCCTAATTGTTCCTGGCCCCCTGGTGGCCAGAAAGAGGCCCAGGCCAGAACAAGTTGAAATGAAAGGATCTTGGCCCCCTAAAAAATCAAACATGTTTCGAAGAATTGGAAATGAGCAGTGTGTACATTTTACCACAGCCTCCTGGGGCGTCCTGGGGTGCCAAGTTGCTCCCTTGTGAAGCCTCCTGGGGCCTCCGCACCCCGAGCCCTGCAAAGGATTATGCGCGTGGGGCGCGCCATCCTCGAGCCATCCTCCTCCCCCTCCTCGTCCTCCTCGTCCTCCTCCTCCTCCTCCTCCTCCTCGTCATCCACCTCCTCCTCCTCCTCCTCCTCCTCCTCCTCCTCCTCCTCCTCCTCCCTCCTCCTCCTCCTCCTCCTCCTCCTCCTCCTCCTCCTCCTCCTCCTCCTCCTCCTCCTTGTCCTCCTCCTCCTCCTCCCCCTCCTACTCCTCCTCCTCCTCCTCCTCCTCCTCATCATCATCAGGCACGCGCAAGACAAGCTTGTTTTCAAATTGCCTGGCACCTATACTGCGACCTTCAACGAATCCCACACGAGAATTCTGCGCAAAACGCTCCGCACCTTCTTCTCTCCCTGGAAAAAAAGTCCTCATGGGTCTGCGGACCCCGTTATCGATCGAGGATCCGGCATGGCGGGTGTGCTTTCCTCGAGCGGGCACGAACGACAAACACTTTCTTTTTCAACTGGAAATGGAACTGCACCCCGTCTGCTATCGAGCGGAAATTCGCTGGCCGAGCCCTAGCATGGCACCATTGGCACATTACCATCCTGAAACAGAACCCCGAGCCCAAGCCATTTCCAGGGAACATGATGGACCCACGAACCCGGAAAGGGATTTAGAACTGCGATGCATGGGGACGTTCCCAAGCACCGCAAGGGGGCGGTGGGCAGTGGCAGCGCTGCAGATATCAATAGTGATGATACTGTGCCAAGGACTGTGTTGGGCTGCTCTGCGCCATGCCGCGCCGCACAATGACGTGTCAGGGGACGCGCCATGGAACGTGCCAATGAAGTGCCAGGGGACATGCCGCATTGAACTGTGACGAGAGCAATTGCATTGTGGATCAAGCCTGACTTGGCGTCAGAATCCTGATCGAACTGAGTTGGATCTTCAGCTCGACCTGGCTGAACGTATAGCTAGGGCTAGTGGCAGTCGAAACGCGCGGGGCGCTCGACCAGCTCGAGCTAAGATCCGATGCAGTTCCGAAGCCCTCGCTCGACACATCCTCGCAATTTGCTCAGGCCTGAGGCCAGACGGCCACACGTTGGACATCCCCCTTTGTGGCCTGACGCGTGAACACGTGGTTCCAGCTCGGGTCAACCATGTTAGATACCCACCTGGGCGGCCTTTTAAATGTTTTCACACCTGTCCCGCTCTGAAGCGTTAGGAACCCACGTGTTGTCACGCTTGTCCCGCTCTAGAGCGTTAGGAACCCTGTCTTTTTTCCAGGCCACCCAGAGGGGATATCTAACATGCGGTCGTCTGCCCCCCCCACAAGGGGAGCACAACAGCCAGAAAAAAAGAGTGCATTGACACCGGATATGTTATAACTTGAATCCGTCTGGTGAATGGGGCATCCTGGGGGCTCCTGGTGGCCTCCTGGGGCCTCCTGCTAAGACCCCGTATGTGTTCGCCCTTGTCCTGTCGAGATCGTCAGGGACTCATGTGTTTTCACGCTTGTCCCGCTCTGAAGTGTTAGGAACCCATGTGTTTTCACGCGTCGCGCTCGGGGACGATAGGAACCCCAAATTATTGTCACGCGTGTCCCGCTCTGGGACGTTAGGAACTCACATGCTTTCACGCTTGTCCCGCTCTGGGGCGTTAGGAACCCACATGTTTTCACGCGTCCCGCTCTGGGGCCTTAGTACCTCATGTGAATTCACGCTTGTCTCGCCCTGGGGCGTCAGGACCCCACATGCTTTCACGCCTGTCCCGCTCTGGGGCGTTAGGAACTCACGTGTCGTCGCGCTTGCCCCGCGCGGGGGGCGTTGGGAGCCCACATGCTGTCTCGCGTGTCCCGCTCTGGGGCGTTTGGAACCCAGCTGTATTCACGCTCGTCCCGCTCGGGGGCGTTAGGAACCCACGGTGTTCCACGCTTGTCTCGCTCTGGGACGTGAGGAACCCACGTGTTTTCACGCTTGTCCCGCCCTGGGGCACTAGGACCCTACGTGCTCTCACGCCTGCCCCGCACGGGGGCGTCAGGATCCCACGTGTTCTCGAGCGTGTCCCGCTCTGGGGCGTTCGGAACCCACGTGTGTCCACGCTTGCCCGCGCGGGGGCGTTCGGAACCCACGTGCTTTCCACGCTTGTCTCGCCCTCGGGCATGAAGAGCTTAACAACCCGATTCCCCAGGCAGTGCTTGCACGGAAGGGGTCCTGGCGGAGATGACAGGATTTGGTGCAAATCCCTGGCCGACTTCGATGAGCGGCTGGGTCAACTCCGGGCTCCCCGGTTCCCGGCGGCTGGTTCCTGGCCGATGTCGGTGGGCGGCGGAGTTCCTGGGTTTCCGGGCTCCCCCGTTCCTGGTCGATCTACCTACCGATCGGTATCGAAGCGCAGTCGAGCAGAGTGTCCACGCTGACGGTCACCGCGCGCTCCTCTGGAGTGGGATCCGTGCCTCTCGGCATTGCTGAGAGTCTTGCTCTCCCGTTCGGTCAACCAAAGCAGCGCGCGGGAAAGCGGAGAGATCGTGGGCAAACGCGGCAACGGATCTGAGATCCGAGGTGAAGCTCAACCACTCCCCTGGGCAATCCCAGCCGCCCACCCAACCAGGCAAGCTGGCTGTAACTTTCACACCTCCGCTCTCTGGGAGCCAGCAGAGCGCCGATCCTGAAAGGGGCCCCGACGCCTCAGCAGGAACACCATCTTGAAAAACACGAGTGCCCGGATCGGAAACCACATGCAGAACATCAACGCTTGAAACCCGCTGCGCCACAAAGCGGCATGCGGCAGAAGCGGCGCCCCGCTCGCACGAAATCTCCGGATAGAGAAGAGAACCGTGTTCACGTCAAGCAAGGGTGCGCTCGCGCCAGCTCTGACACCCTGCCCCTTCCGACCTCTACCTTATCATCGCGCTGCTGTGTGTTTCTATTCGCCCACGGGTGCCATAGCGGACCTGATCCCCCGAGAGGACACCATCGTCGTCTCGCGCCATCGGACAAGGGGATCTGGTGTGCTCTGGAGCGGGAGGAGGTGGCAGATGATGAAGGGGCCCTGGGGCACACAAAATAAATACACACAGATAACAGGATTCCCCATCTATTTTCTCATATGTTCTGGGTCTTCGTCTTCCCCCCCCCCATTTCCCATATGTTCCCACATCTTCCTGGGGATGGACGATGAATTGTGCCTGTGTGTGTGTGTTTTCCCTCCTGATGTATGAAGGGGATGAGGGAAGGTTGCGGGCAAGATTTATATCCATTTCCAGTGCGTCTTGGACTTTCTTGGATGGGGCGCCGCAAGGCCGAGGCGCAGTGGATATGGGTAAACAGCGAGCCTCTAGGCGGCAGATGTTTGTCCATATCCTCTGCGCCTCGGGTTTCTGAGGAAGGGCGCCCGAAACTCAAAGCTGCAGTGGATATGGACATAGGTATTGCCCGCAAAGGTGGGAGACCAGCCTCGGGCTGGCTAGCTGCGGAGTGCTGCCGCTGCGGCCGAACAGTGGCGCTGCGGCGCAGCAATTCCGGCGCGCGGCCACGAGGCCCACGCCTGGAGCCGTGCGTCTGCCAAGGAGACGCCGAGGCCCCACCGAGGGCGCCCCAAGCGTAGCACGACCCCTCCTCCTCTGCGGGTAATACTTCTATCCATATCCAGAGCGTCTTGAACTTTTTGGGAAGGGGTGCCGCAAGGCCGAGGCGCACTGGATATGGA